CCGGACGCGGCGGGCTCCCGTGAGGGTTAAGTTAGTCCGTGAAAGAGCGGCGGGATGCCTGGGAGGCCCGGTTTTGGGATCCCGTCCTCTCAGGGGCGCGCTGAGCGTCCTGCCCGCTTCGGTCTTAACGGCGCTAGAAGTCGCTGTCCCCGCAGCGAGCCTGGAGTGGGCGGCGGCAGCTAAAGTAACGCGTGTGCGGGTGCCGCCCGTGGGGCTTCCCCACTGACCTGCGGGTGTCTCTGCCCCTTGGGGCGTCCTCCTGCGCCATCGGTCGGCGTGCCACAGCTCCCCTGCTCCGCGCTGTGAGGTGAGCTGTTAATTGCGTACATCCACTCTGCACACACGCAGCGTTTGAGCTTTGCTTATCAAATAATTTGAAAGCTGGGACAAGCTTTCGTCGTCTACAATTATCTATGAAGTGCATCAGAGAAGTAGGGGAGAAGGTGGAACTCAAAAGATTCCCTTTATCTGTTGTTTCCATTCAAAAGTCTGTGTCATAAGAAAAGTACCACCGACTTCATTTTCAGATAATTTTTAACCTAAACAATTTTCAAGCATTCTGTATTACAAAACAGAAAATGATACAATTAATGGAAGAAGTCAAAATGCTGGCATCACTTTGTTTCCACATTAATACATAAAAATGGACAACACATTAAATAAACATTTTGTTATTAACAATTAGAAATATTAACACCAAAAATCATGTATAAATTAGGAAATAAATGTACAAACTATTTCCAAAGTGCTCTTTCAAATACATTATATACACAACATTCAAGAAGTTCTTAATGTAAGACATTTCAGATTGATGTAATGTTGCTGTTTCATTTTAAGTGTTATTCATATTCTCTCAAAAGTATTCCAGCACTTTCAAAAACCACATAAAAGGCCTATTTCCAAGCTGGCAAAGAGCAATATTGCATTCTTCTGGCTACCTGTAATATTAACATATTATAAAGAAAACAATCTTACTTCCTTTCTGTTCCTTGCTATTTGAGAGTACTTATTTGTATGAAAACACCAGCAGGAAGGATGAGAGAAATGCGGACTTACTACAAAAATGTCTTCTATCAGTAATTAAAATTATTAATGTAGCAAGGGCAGTGCTTGGACAACATTTAATAGTAAACTCTTTAGCTGTCCAGTTAAAGACTTTCCTCTACAGGAAAAAAAAGTAATGACTTGAGAGATCTTTTATTTTCCTTGTGGTCTTGGTTTTTCAAAATATAAAGTACTAGAACTTGAAATTCCATAAATACACCAGTTCAGACAAAGAAAAGGAGAAAATCCTACAGAGGGTGTATTTACTCTATATTGTAAATTTGCAGTTAATCTCGTATTAAAAAATGCTCATGGACTATAGTCATCCTAGCCTTTTGCCTCAGAGAAGTTTGGACATGGTATTTTGTTCAGCACTTACATAAGCACTTTATAAGTGCTTTTTTCCAACACTTTATAAGAACATATAAAACTGAATAGAAGTGACTTAACATTGTTCATACTGGCTTTTACATACCACTAGTTTTTATTTCTAAATTCTCCCTCTATAGGTATTCTCTCACTGGTTGACCCCATTAATAGTTCCCCTCTATATATAGCATAATATTGTTTCACAATTAAAGCTGAATTTAATTGCTTATCTGCAATAAAGATGGATTTTTTTTTTCTTTTACTTCTGAACTATTTCTGTCGAGCTACAAGAGAAAAATAAAAACGATGATGAGCTGTAAGAACAGTCGACCAAAAGATTTGACAGTATTTATGGTTATAATGCTTGTTGGAAAATCTGAGCAAAGGCAATGGAAGAATCAGAAATGGAGAAGGATGCCAGCCACCTGCTTGCGAAATTTGGCATGAAAATGTATATGCGAGTTATAAAATTTGGAGTAGCATATTTAAGACTGGAGTTTTGCCAGATGTTTTTCTCAGCTAAGCACAATATGAAGCAATATTGACATCTAGTAGGCTGACACTGCTGATCTTGGAGCTCCCTTCTATTTTTCTTTCCACAATATAGAAATACCTTAGTTTACATGGATATATAAAAGGTGCCTCTAGTGATTAACATTTCCTTCAATATAGGTTTTGAACCTCTTTCTGTAGCTTTTACAACAGGAACGGGGACTTATGCGGATTATTGAATTATAAGACTTGGGTAGTTAGCCCTGGTAGGTATTGCAGAAGTTGCAGTTAATTTTATTTTTATCACATAGCGTAGAACTGTCTTCACATAAGGAATGTATCTATCCCCTTATTCTTAAGAAGTAAAGTTAAGAGCCATGGATTTCAGAGGCTGGCAGGTAATCTTCAATGCATTCAGTTAAAAAAAGATCACTAACCTACCACAGGATACCTGCCTGGACGGAGATACGACTGAATGGCTTTGAATTGAGCCAGACCGCAGAATAACTTGGCTGTTTTCCAGAATGGGGCACAACTGTGATCAAATGATCCTAAAGCTATTTAGAAACATCAAGAATGGGGCGGGGGTGGGGGGGTAAATGAAAAACTTCTGCATTGTATCAACATACAGTACTATACACAGCACCAAATATCAAACCATTAAAGCATTGTCTTGTTACCAGTAGTGCACTGCTTCATATCCAGCATGAAATGAACACTGTTCACATACAGACGCTGCTTTGTGCTAAGGGGTAACCAACATATTACAATTAATCAAAACTGCCTGTACATCCAGTTCAAAAGATGGAGATACTATTGAAATGAATCTGACACAGGATCGTATTCTTTTATTGCTGGTAATTTCCATATTGTCCCTATAAAAAAGAGAAATAAAAATGTTGGAGAATAATATGTCAGAGGTTTACGAACAGTGAGTTAGACAATTTCTTTTGGTCTATGAATTTTGAAAGACCCACTGAAGTATCACCAATATGCCTGCACCAAGTTATCAGACAGATTTATACGCGGAGCTAACAGCTAAATCTGCTTTTTCATGTCAAGAGATTTAGACAATGTACCTGCTCGTAGCCGTAAGGCCTCTGTTGCTGAGCGGATGGGCCTGTCTGAGAAGCTCTGTAACTTCCATATTGCTGCCCCTGTCCCTGTTGGTAGCTGGAATACTGTGAAGAGGCTCCTTGTGCTGGACCTGAGAAGACAGTGAAATCTATTACTAAGGCTTGATTTGCTAGGGGGAGTTCTTATGGTAAACATAATGGTAATAAAGTAAGTTCTGCAAGTGTGAACTATGAGTAAATTTTGCCTAGACCTCCTCTCTAGCTTTACTCTAGAAAGCGTTAATACTAATAGTGATCTAGTTGTCTAGTTGCAGCAGTGCAAACTTCAGTTCAGGTTTTAAACTTTGCTCAGAAAATGTGATCTACTTTTAAGTGATTTGCCTCCCCGAAATCTGTATTGGCACACCTCAATTATTACCTATATGCAAGCTACCTGGCCTTTATTTTCGTAACAATTGCACGTTTAACTTCCTATTTAATCTGGCTGTGCCACCATAAGCACTGCTGACCAGGCAGAACCTAAGAAATCTCTTGCATATTCAGATAATTTTAAAAACCACGTAAATCAGACACAAAACTGCACAGGGATATTGATTTCCTTTTATTTGGGACTGTATATTCTGTGTATAGACTGCTACGTGCACGCACTTTTTAGCATTATCGGTGGATTTTTATGGAGAACCTTTAAAAAGAGGAGGCCAGATTTTAACATCATAAACTGAATTTTGGGTTTAGTTTCACAGAATATGTCTGGTTTGAGTAGTCCAAACTATCTGCTGGCACTGCAGAGTCAGGTGGTAATAATTTAATTAACTTTTTAGGCATGTAGGTTCTGTTTCATGAGATCTTACATTTCTAAAATGGATTTGCTGTTTATATCAACATCAATTTATCAAGTTTGGTTAACATTGCCAGTTCAAGGTCAAGTACCAGCACATTTGGGAGATGCACCAGAAATCCCTTGCCTTGAAGCTAGTGTTTAGATTATTCCAATCTCTCCGGCCCCTGTTTTTGTACTGAATAACCTGAAATGGTTGTTTTCTCCCAAAGGCTGAGGATACATACAAGATGCCTCCAATCGGTCAGAAAACTCAAAGACAGCCATCAAACTCAGATTCTTTCGATAACAGTGGGGAGTGCTGCCACTGGTGACCTGAAGGGTTCGAAAGCCCCGCACCAGTGTTAGCTGCATGTTCAAAGCACTTCCACTTTTTTCCTTTCGCCTCAGACCCTCGCCAAGAACTGTAACCTGTATGATGCTACAAGAAATCTAAGTGTGGGAGTAGGGATTCTCTGGACTATTGATGTCATTTTTTCATGTCAGTTGCAGAACTATTAGATGTGTAGGAGGCCTGAGAATCCAGGCAGTCACCTCCTGGCTACACTTTCAAGGAAGTCAAAATGAGGCAAAAGTGTACTTTCTAACTCTCAACAGAGAGAGGGATTCAGGATGCAAACGCAACAGTACGGAATGCAGTGCTATACTAAGCAGTATGTTACTGCCCAGAATCCCTTTACATGCTATGCTCTTTGGATAGTTTTGGTATGTGGATGTCCAAGGTTGATCAAGGAAATAGTTTACAGCACATTTTAGCTTAGGAATGGAAGCGTCAAGATGAAGTATTGCAAACACTTGGCCGGTCAGTGGCAGTTCTCTTACCATATCCTTGCTGTTGTCCTGGGTAACTTTGTTGGTTTGGGTATTGCTGCTGGGAATATGTTTGCTGTTGTGCAGCTCCCTGTTGGTATCCTGCCTGCTGCTGGCTGTACTGAGAATTTCCTGAAGAGGGAAAAATTGAAATAGTTTGGTTAAAGATGAGCAGGTATTTCACTGTACATGCTAATCATAAGGAAAACAAAGGAGCCTTGGTCTGGAACTCGTAGATGAGTACTCTTTTCAGAAACAGATGTTTGCATTTTGCCAATCATGATGAGTTTATTTCTTCAGTGATTCTTAGTTCTTTTGAACAGGAGAGAGTTGTTTATTTATACACATCACTAAACAAACAAACAAACAAGCAACCTGTTCCCCAAAGGATGTTTTTTACCCCAGAAGTGTTTCAGAAGAACAATGCAGTCACAAAGATAAGAGTGCCAGGGTAAATAGCTGGCTTCTTAAGAAGCCCTCTCACTGTATTTTCTTCCAGATAATGATGTTTATTCATATATCCCAGAAAGACCACTTACCTAGTTGTTACTGGTATTTTTTGAAATACCTATGATGGAAATTCCATTTGCAGAATCCTGAAACCACAAAATGAATGGAGACTATACAGACGACATTGCTTTTCCTAAATGCCACCTCGCTGTATCATAATTAAGTTAATATTTTGCAGTTAATTTAGAGTTCAGATATCGTAATAGTATCACTGGATTTACTAACGTACTACTGTTGAGAGATTTTTTTGTGGTAGAATTGCAAACCCATAGTATTGGTGATTTTCAAAGATTAATTTCATGTAACCCATTCTTTTTCACAATTTGTAAGGTGAATTAAGTAAGATTAAAAAAAGCTCATCCTGGAATTAACCAGTAGGCTTTCTTGCTTTAGAGAAATCTCCATTTATGGCTGTCATTTTTTTCCAGCTCTGTTTCTAACTGCAGCACGTTAGTTTACCTTTGTCAGCATAACCTTTTACTTTAACACAGCCATTTTTATTTGCATTATATAAAATATTTGTTAAACAATTTTGTAAGAGTGGAGCTTACTGATATCGTGGAAGTCTTTTCTCTTGCTGCAAAAAAAGTTCAATATCCATAGCTATAATTCCACCTGGCTCAGCTACAACCAAGGATCATTTTTCTAATGAATATGAGGCTACGCACAAGTTGTTAGTGATCCCACAAGGCTGCACAGCATGACTGCCTCACAGTACAGTCACTGACAGGATACTGTGTATACAGTCTGATACAGTCTTGGTATAAAAAATGTTATACATAGCTAAATTCTATTTCCTGGACACTCCTTAAGTAATGGCTAAGTAGCAGTTAGTGATGCAGAAATTGCAAGTCATATTTTACATTTTCAAAAGCATTTCATTAGTATTTTAGGGGAGTAGAGCTTTGGTTTACAAAGATTGCCAATATATTTTCCTACCTCCTTCATAATAGTGTTGTGTAGAGTCGTCAAATGACCTGTCATAGCTCTGCTCAGTATAGGATGACTGCTGATAGGCATAATCACCATGTCCTACAAGGAATTGCAAAGATTCATCAGATACATTGTTAATATAACTAGAGATATATTGTTGAATACATATATTATGAAGCTGCTTATGCACAAAGATGAGGCTAAGAGGAAATACAGACCCCTTAGGTAGGAGGTTGAATACATGGCAAGGAAAGTCACACCTACGGATAAATCTCTTGCATTCACTAGTCCAAACTTGGCTTTGTGCTCTTTTTGAAGCAGTTTGGATAGCAGGGTGCATTGATGCGTATGTTTGTGTACCGGGCTCCCATGCCCTGGGATTAGAATTCTCTAGCATTTAAATTGGAAATGAATCGTAACGGGTTTGCTATGTCCTTGGATGTGGCAGTCATGCTGGTCTACACTTTAGCAGTATTACAGTGACTACAGCTCAGAAGAATTACCATCTGGATAATATTGCTGATTCATAGGTTCTGAGGAGCCTTGTCCATGACTGTACTGTTCACTGTAATATTCTTCCTGACCCATGTACTGCTGCGAGGAACCTGCAAGGCAAAGGCAAGAGAGAGCAAACTGAGCCCGTGGACTCCTAAGGGATGTTATTTTCTTACCGAATTTATTTTTAAGAAAACAGCATTTACATCTGGATAAGTAAACAAGCTATGTATGTTGAGAGCAGCTTCAAAGATGTTTTGCTCACTAGAAAAAGGAAATAAATTTGTATTCTCAGAAGAAGCTGGTTGAAATTGAAATTACGCAACTGTCAGTAACATGTCCTAAACCCGCTCACTTCTGTGGCAATACCGAAAGTAATGGTTACATTTCATCTACTAATCTAAGTTATTAGAAAGAATAACTTAGAACAAAGTCAGAATTAAATGTATTTTAATTAATGTATTAATTTGTTTCTTAGCAAAATTCAGTTTATGTCAGAATCAGTCTAGCAGCTTTATTACTTCTTAGAACTTTTTCCAGAGAGGTCTTAGAGCATGGTAGTTATCCCTCTGGTGTTTTCCCTTCCTTGGCCTAATTTTTTATACTAATTGCTGGCAAACTCTGTCTTCTTTGCAGAAATATGTTCCTTGTTAACTGTGCCATGTTACAGCTGATCCAATACCATTTGAAAGAATCGAAAAGATTCCCAGTGGCTTGAGTGAGTTGTATATCAAATTGTTCATCTTTTCTTTAAAGATATATGATCCCTTTTAGACAGAATTATTTTTCTAAACACCTGAAATAATTAAATAGATAAATCTTGAAAATAGATTAAAGTTCATCTGATTGTCGTGATACTTCCACTATTCGAGATTTCTTGTGCTCCCAGATGGGATTCCCTGTTCATAAACATTTTGTTGACTTACCTACCCCACAGGACAGACTGAATATCATCAATCTAATAATAATTATATCAATAATCTAATAACAGATTTTACCTTGCTGTGAAGCTCTGTAAGGGCCCATTGGTCGCTGTCCCATCATGCTGTTGCCTTGGTTGCTCTGACTCATCATGGCAATGGAGGATTGCCCCTGGTAATGCTGGCTCCCTCCTTGTGCCGAGTTGTAATGCGACGTTGCTGCTTGCTGGTGCATCATGGAGACTACAATGTACATGGAAAATACTGTTTTCTAAAAGGATGTGACAGTTCTCTCCCTAGCCTATTTGGAAGCAAGTTAAAACCTTCAACTAACATGCATCCTGATAATTCTGTGAATTTTCCACAGGGGGAGATGTTTTCCTACTGCATGTATTTAACTCTTCTGCCTTGTAATCCAGAAAGGATGCTATTGCATGGTCAGTTCTTGCCATTTGCTTCAGTCAGACATTTAAAACTACGTCTAGCCTTGATTATTATTAGTTTATTTAAAAGAATGTAATCATCATTGCAGTAGGATTAAAGAAAGAAATAAGAACTGATGCTTGTTCCTCTCTACCTCCTGATTAATTCATTGCTGCATTTCTTTTCTAGTCAACTCTTTCTTCTACTTCCATCTTATTATATACCTGATGATTATACAGTTTAAATAAACTGACATTCTAGGATTTATTTGATCCCTAAATTTCATATTGTCGGACAGAATTCTTAAGCATTGGACATCCTATTCAACACTCAGTAGCAAACATTTTTAGAAATTAAGAGATTAATTCTGAGTTGTCTGCTAGTCTCTCTATGCCCTGCAAGCAGTGTGAAGTATCAATAAAATAACAAAAATGGGGTAGTCATGTACAAACAGTAAATGTGTAATACTCTTTGGCAGGCTCTTTCAGCTAGGATAAAGGTGCTTCTCAGATCCCTCCCACGGTTGTGGGATTTGCTGCCAGGGGCTATCAGATAGTGCTGCTGCACTTTTAGCTAACCTTCTTTTCCCCAACTCATTGCTAACCATAGCAAGTCGGTGTAAGTTAAAGCAAGTCTGAAACTGTTCTGACTTACACTGATGCCTGACACCTTGAAATTCAGAGATGTCTTAAAGCTGTCTTTTCCTCTTGTATGTTTGTCGCTGTCTACAGAAAATATTTACAGAACAAATTCATGTGTGGTAAACCTCTGAGGTCACTGAAAAGTCAAGTTGGCCCAGAAGGAGGAAGAGGGAGTTTACCTGGATTAGACTGCATGTTGATGTTTGTTCGAGAGACATAATTGCCTATTGACCCCTGGCCTTGCATTGGCACATTCTGAGATGCAGGCACTGTATGGCTATAACCAGGCCCAGTTCCATGACTGCTGACAGTCATACTCAGAGAGGTCGTGGGCATAGTGTTCTGGCCTGACTGCTGCATAGACACGTGATTAGGACCTAGAAAAATTAAAGAGAGCAACAAGAAAATCTGTGCTATTATTGGCAACGTACAGTGAGCATTAAAGCCCTCGCGGCCTTTCTGAAATACCTTATGATAAGGCAAAACAAAACAAAAAAAATCCTCATTATTAAAATTCCCTGTTATCTACAGACAAATTAAAACTGCCTACTGCACAGTTAGAGTGATCCTCCTCTTCCTGGCAGCCAAATCCAGGCTGTACAGAATTGCAGACAGGAAGAACAAAACTAGCAGCAATGCCCTACAACCAGTTCCTCGCAGGCAGCAGAATTAACAAAAGCCAGTAATTTCAGATACTTCAGAAAATACATGGACTATGGAAACATCCCAGCCTTCTGAAATTTGTCCTTTCCTTCCTCCTGCTGTTGATTCCTCTTCCCCTTTCACACGGATGGCGACAATGGGAAGGCACAGTAGTGGCTGAGAAACACTTTGCACATTGCTGCATCCATGCGGTTCCTCTATAACCAACTAACCTTCTTAGCGGGCACTTAGGAAGTACCAAGGGACCCTCTCCTCAGAGGGGAGGAGAGGGGAGCCTGTCTTTCCCTTTCCCAGAGTTTGACTGAAAGTACCTCAGGCTTTCGGAAGATAAATTTTCCAAGTCACCATCATAATCCCTGTTGTTACAGTACCCGCTTTCCACCATCACTGTATGTAATTATCAGACTGCTCCAATTATATCCTGGTTTTGAGAGTATCATCCTGCTTACCTGGCAGTATGCTTATTTTTTAAAATTATATTGCTGTTGGGTAACTAAAATTGGGGAGAATCTGGTCCTTATTTTTTGTTCTTTGTTGCTGTAAATACTTTTATGAATGAGTTTTGGACAGTTGTTTTCATTGTGTATCGTTACTATCTAAATTGTGATAGTGTGTATTGTTGTCTGTCTAAATTCAGCTGTATTGTTGTCAATCTAAATTAATTTAGGTAGAATGGAAGACATGCAGAATCCCTAGAAGAGACAGAATTATGTTGTAATGTTTAGATAACGATATTTTAATTCACGGTTATTAAGTGTATCTACAGCTTCTGAAAAATGTGTCTAATTCTCTTAGTACAAACCTTGTTAATTAGTCTTAATGGTTTTTATAGATATCAAAATGAGAAAACTTGCTGTAGATCATTATATTTTCCTTTAATGGGGAGATGCAAGCAGCATTTTCAACAAGAGATAAAGAGAGCCAGCTCCACTGAAATCAGTGAGGCCAGGTCAATATACGGCTACAGAGATCCAGCCCCGTGTTTTGCTACAGTTTTGTGTGTCTTGTAAAGCTGATACTTCTACTTGTGCAACACAAGACCCCATGGTATTTGAATGGAGCTAGCAGTTGCTTTGAGTGAGAGATGGAGTGAAGCAAGTGTTGGCAAACCTTGCCATATTTGCCTGGGAAAACTTTGAGAATCTTGGCCTTCTTTAAAGAAAAAAAAAAAAAAAGTTTGGCTACTTTGTGATTGTAAGAGAAAATATGAAAGCATGACCAAAAGTGTTTAAATAAAAACACTAAAACAATAAGATAAATACAAAGCACTGAACCTCTTTCATACTTTCATGGATCTAAGGCAGTTGGGTTTTTCCTTGAAAGGCCTCATTCATGATTTCTTAACAGTTAAAATTCTCAGTTGGGCCCGATTCTCTCTGGAGGCAGCCGAGTTTCGCTGGTTGGTTTATTGAATCTAATGGGTTTGCCTGCAGGGCTGTGGCACAAAGAATCACTGACTTGTGAATGGTGGATTACTGGAAATTTCAGTGGGTTGTTTTTTAACTTATTATGTATGTCGGGAATTACCTAGTTACTGTCCTGCAGAGATGATTCCTGTAAAGTCCTGACTGAGGATAATAAAGACTCAAATGTAGTAGCTTCTATGTCTCCTTCCCTGTTCTTCCCTCTTTTACAATGGTGTACCTCTTCGTTACAGACTTTCATCTCTATTGCCATTAGATGAGAAATTTTCACAAGTACTAGAGCCCATAGATTTGAATCGTTTGTGCATATTTATCCCTAATTTCCAAAAAACCGCTGTCCAACAATTGTTGACCAAAGTGAAATAATTTCTCAGTCTCAAAGTCTACCCGCACATCAAGACTGCTGTGTCATACAGCATCACTGTGCTAACGTGATTCTGGCTGGCACAGAGACAGCAGCAGTAGAGACTGGCAACCAAGGGGAGTGCCCCCAAGCCCAAGGGTGTGAGGGTCCTATTCTCACAGCAGGCACTAGCAGCAGAGCACATGCCATCACTGCTGCTGTTACCTAGGCTACTCGGAAGAGGCAAGCTACTGCATTCTCAGTCACACCTTCGTTTTGAAGTGTAGCTATGTCCTCAGTCTGGTTTCCAGAGGACTGGTATTTTCATGATAAAATGCCTGGCACTACCCAGGTGACAGAGTCTCAGTGACTGGGCAGAGAATGAACTACCCTGAGACCCCCACAACACAGGCTGGGTTTTAGTACTGGGTTGGGGCAACATGGGGTAAACTGCCCTGGCTGCTTCTGCTCTGTGGATGACTCGAGTCTTCAGGACTGCCAGTCTGGTTCTTTCGATCAGCACTAAATTACTGTAAAGAACTGGAGGGTGGGGAGGCAAATAAGAAAAACCAGCAACAGCAACACTGAAAATATAGGTTCTTAGTAACACAAAACAGTGTTTTGACTGACTTACTATAATACTAGGTAATATATCTTTCAAAAAGAAGGCCCAGATAAATTTAATAAGTCCACTTTACAAGCTGTAACTGTTTCAAGTAGGTACCTCGTCCCTTAGTTTAAAAGGTACTATCAGCTTGACCACAAATGGATTTTTAAAAAGTCAGAAGTAATTTCATGGCTTGCATCTGCTCTTGAGTCCCCCTGCCTAGGTCTGTGATTTTACAGTCAGATATTTCTATTTATAGAAACTGTTTTCTCTCTCTGTCACTCTGGGAAAGACCCACAGAAACAAGAACTGACTAAGTAACTATGAACTACAAAATAAATAAACAGATTATTCACACTATAAAATGCACAGAGTAAACAAAACTTTTTTGTCTTTCAATTAGTTTCTTTTAGTTACACGAACAAAACCAAATAGACAAAGTATATTATCTTATTCATCTGCAATGTCTGTGCAAACTCTTTGGCTATGTAGCACAATCTCTGCAAGCTTCTGTAGAGGACAAAGACTGATGCAATACCAAACTATTTTTAAGAAGGCATGTATCCTGGAAGGTCTTTGCAATCTAAAGGCTTGGTTGTGCGGTTAGTCATGCAGACAATTCCATTTTACCCTGGCCAACCCCACCACCTTCAAGAGAAAAATACCACAATACATAATTTTTCTTATTAAAAACTTGGATGCATCTTTACTTGGTGATTTTCGTACGCTTTCTTAAAAAGATGTTTTTAATTTCCCCTATAGAAATACTAAGCAGATTGGAGTCCTTGCAGAAGCCAACACCATTACTGACTGTAGCCATTTTGTGATGATTTCGGCATGTGCCTGAAATCCCCATATGCCTGAAAGGTGAGTTAGGAGAGGTCTTTTACAGCTCTGCAAATATATTCTGCATTAATGATTTTGTTGCCAAGCAACAGCAAAGCAGCACAAAGGGGACCGAAGCTCACCATTGCTAATCTGACTCTGCATGAGGGAGGAAGGAGGAAGGCCCGTCCCAATTGCATCACTGAGATTGCTCTGTGAATGGAGAGATTGGTTGGATGCACTCTGAGTCATTCCTCCTGGGCCCAAGTTTATGTTTTGCGTTGGTGGCTGCAAATAACAAGGAGGAGAAGCAAATTTTTCGTTAGGTTTTAATTAGAAATATAATAACCCCCGAATTAGCCTGAGTGACTAAAAACTGCCGCAACTCAGTATGCGCTTCTTTCACTTTCCGGGCTTGCTTGCGTAAACCTTTTTTCGTTTGACTACCATGTGTGAATGACATTCAGCATGATACAGAGAAGCCGGCAGGCAGCACAGTGAAGATCTTAAAATTGTGCTTATAATAGAGTCCGGCTTCTGTGCCCGTTCTTCCGTGCTTACATGAGTTTCATTTTGTGCTGGTCAGAACGTAACTGCTGAGGGGATTTGCATTAGCAAAGATGATACAGAAGTGTGTTGACAAATTGACCTTTGTCAAGCATAAAGCTATGCTGTATTTTGTGTTATGCGTGATACCTCCAAAATCAATCAATTTAGCAAGAATAACACAATGTTTAAAGACAAACCAACGCCCAAATGCTGAATTAGATTTTTGACATAAAATAGTGGCATTTTTTTCCTGATTAAAGAATACAGTAAGAATAGGTAAAGAATAATGAATCTGGAACAAATGGACCCTGTGCAGATCTGTACCACTGCACCATTTATAGTACATAGACCTTGAGCTACGGAGACAAGCGATGAACACAAATGTCCCAAAGAATTTGTTTTAAACACAGTAAAAGTAGCTTTTGATTTATTTAGTGGTCTACTTGACCCCTTCAAAACTTTTAGCTGGAAAAATACTAAAAATGGTTTATTGACAGTGATCAGTAACAGAATCAAAGAACACTTCCCTCTGGCACAGTAAATGTATCTGATGGTAGCACTGGTACTTACAGCAGGAAGCAAGGACTGCATATTCTGGTTAGAATCTGCTATTGTTGCCAAGTAAACCAGGTTTCTGTGCAAGATTTGTTGGTATCTACAGAATAAGGAATAAAGCTTATTCGGAAAGGGTTAACAGTACAGAAAATTCCAAACCTTTCTCTTTTTTTTTTTTTTTGCTATTTACAAATGATTAGTTAAATTACATTAGCCCACTTTTCATCTGTCATAATAAATAGCGATAGTAATGACCTATATCTGTGCTGTCATGCTTTTCATCAAGGATCAGCATGTTCAACACCTCTTTTACAAATGGGTAAACTTGGGGGAAGGGAGAGGTAAAATACACTCTCCTTTGAAAGCACTTTGAGGGAGCTGTGAAGCTGGGACCCCAGTCTTTGAGTACTGACACCCGGTCAGCTGCTCTAACAATTAGCCACCTTTTCTTCCTCTGTTTAACAAGGGTCCTAGTAGTATGGAAATTCCAGAACTCCAAAAACCAAAACCTGTTTGCCCTGCCAGCAAGCTGAGAAGAACAAGATTTTTTTCAAGAGTGCTTTAACTGGAGTGTTTACTCAAGTAAACACCACCAGAAGCATTTATGCTTCTTCACAGTTCTCGATGAACTGGAAAAGCTCATAGTAAAGAACAAGAGGGCATCCAAAAGGAAACTAACAGCTGTGCCATTGAGCAAAGCGAAGAGTCAAACCTTTGGAAACAGGGAGGGTTCCAAGAAGGCAAGAGAAAATGCTTTTTTAGCATGAGCTTTCTTCTGATGAGGGGAAAATGGCTGCGAGGTGGGAAAAGTGGCAAAAAATGAAGCGAGAATGGTGACACGACTTCTTTAGCAAAGGCATCTTTTTTACACTAATTTTTTTGAAAGTACAGCTTTCTGGGTTTGGGCCCATAACTTGACCTTTCATGGGGCAGATTGGCTATTCTTCCCGACTGAGATTTAACCCCTAAAGTTCATAAAAGTATTTTGCTTTCAAGATTAGTAATAGTAAGCAGTGATACAAACTGGTATGTCTACACACGTATTGTTTTAGCCATAGATAACCACATAGCTGATCCTCAACATTTAATTACTTTCTGATGAAAATCTGTTATTAACTTTGTACCTGATTCTACTTGTATTTAATGAATCTACATAGAGCAAGTGGACCAATAACCATAACTGTTTATAATTATTTCAATAAATGATCTGTTAAAAATATTGTAAACACTCAAATACTTCAGAAAAACACTCTGTTCCAAGAACAATATACATTTCTTAATACAAGTGAATGTAAAAAAATAGTCCAACTGTTTTCTCGGTGATCAGTGAACAGAACTGTTCATAGTACTGTTCTTGAGAAAAAGTACACCCAAAATTTCTAACACACTCCAAAACTCATAATACTCACTGAGTACATTCTGCAGTTTTCCCCTTGCTCTGATAATCCATAATACATTGTATTAGGTGGTGATTTTCATCTAGCATCTGCATAAAAAGAAATACGATCAAAACACGTTACTACGAGAATCATATTGAAGTCCCGTGTTTTTGTGATACTCCACGTTGACCCTTCTTGGCAGTGGATGGTGGTTTGTGCAGTTTTGTTGCCTTGGGATATTACAGAGTACCTACACGTGACTTTATTGAGCCACAGGACTGTGCTTTTCAAATCATTCATTTATGAACAGTTATCTTTCAAGGAATTAGTTGAAATACCCAACACAGAAGTAGTAATGGACTTACCTTTTTTGCTCCTTAAATGGCAGATAGATTTTTATGCTGAAGAAGGAAAACGCTTTCCCTGTGAAACACCTCTGCCTCGTTCTAATATATCGCCCAACCCTTTCCAAAACTCCAGATTTCACTAACATGCCTGCTTTCAAATAAGAAACATACTTTCAAACAATTTAAACCTACTAGTTTTCCTGCACAGGACTAGCGCGTGCAGACTACTGAACTTGACGAAGTATAAAATTTGCATTACTGGATCTACTGAAACCACATTTAAGAGAATTACATCCCGGTACGTCCTTTGGGGTAGTTCAGTTCCAATACAGGGAGGACTTAAAATGAAAACACAGAGCAATTATGTATCAGTTAATTTATGTGTATCAGTGGCTGCTAGCTTAGCTTCATTCCATAAATTCTAGTGACTGACTTGTTCCAAGAAGATCAGAGCTGCTGGACAAAATGACCACTGACCTTTATTTAAAGAACTTATAATACAATTAAAAGCTTAAAATATCCTTTGATTTGTTTTAAAATTTCACATACAACAGTTTGTCTCTCCCCCCCCAGCTTTCTTGTGAATGCGGCAAGCTTTCTGCAGGTGAATGAATGGAAAAATAACAACAGTATTTACAAATTTAGATTTGCCTCTGGCAAAAACTCACTACACGGTGCAGTTTGTGGGTACGGCTGCTGTTAAGTGCTTGCAAGATTGGGCCTTTAATCACTGTGTCATCAGGATAGAAGAGCTCTTCAGGAAAGAAGAACGTGTCTTCATAGGAGTTAAATGTGAATTAATCCGTATAGGTATGTGTTCTGATCAGAATAAATTCTTGACCCATTCAGATGCAAACAAAGGGCTAGATTACAGGAAAATGAGCAGAAGAGTCTTTCTGATGCACTTGCAATCTAGCGAGTCACTCCCTTAGAGAACTCAGCTTGTCCTGCTTCTTGCTCGTAATTTGCAGGTTGGTCTTGACTTTGCCGGACGCCCTCGTCCATCACAGGCTCTGGCTGCTGGAACTTGCAGTGATCCCCTGTAGCTGAAGTCAGTGAGGGTCTGAGGAACAGAGGCGTTGCTGTGGCCTGCCACGGCAGGTCGGCAGGCTGCTCTCTCGAATGCTGACGGGGAACGTCAGAATTGTGTCAGTCAAGAATCCATGTTCCTCCTGCATGCGTGCCTATGCTCACATGGCAACCCGGGTGCAGCATATGATTTTAAGAGAAAATACTCCTGCCTGATGCACAGTGCAGCTCTTTGTTTCATGCTCCGTACTCGTTGTTGTACAGAATTCTCACCCGTGTCAGTGGAAATTCTGTATATACAATTAGCAAAGAATATAAACCCGTCCTTTTCAGTTTCCACAACGGATATCACTGGCAGTATTTCCACATTCAGTTAAGATGCCTATTCAACAGCAAGAGTCCAAGCAATATTACAGATATCTTCGCTGGAAAAGGGCTATGCTTCCACAATTAGCTGAAAAATATTTTGCTTACTGAAAAAGGAATCAGGAATAGCTCTTTTCCTAACTTACTAGGAAAAAAGAACCGACTTCTGATCTCCATTACACGGAAGAAGCTGAAGTTTACTGCTCTGCAAATGCTATTTGATGAACTATTGAAGCACCACCATCACTGCTCTCTTGTCAAAAGCTCTAACTTCCTCCATGTGAAGTCTGTTTTAGGAATAGTTGGTACTGGAATAATAACAGCTTTGAAAGACTATCAAAATTGAGTTAATAAATAAAAATAAGCTGCTCATATATTACGACTACAAATGAGAATAATCTCGTTTTTCAATGAAATCGGTATGTGTTCTAAAAAGCTCACTTTAATGAGGATTTTTTGAGTTCCGAGCCCAGCACCTGCTCCTTCTCCCACCGCCCCATTTCTACACTTGACTACAAAGCCCATCTAGTTACGGTGCCTGCAAGTCTCTCCCTCAGCCTCACTGCTCGTCAAAACGGACATCGCTGCCCACAGCCCAACACTGATGAACAGTCCTGAAGTAACATGCCAGCAAAGGTACCTGAGGTGGGAAATGTTTTTACATGTTATTGGTAAAGGAATAACATTCTGAAGCTTCCAGAAAGTTTATGAATACGCAAAAAGGAAAGGGCTTGAAAATCAAACTGAAGATACTTTGCCTGCCCTTTGTCTGTGGATGCAGTCATGTTTTAAGTACAAACTGTCTGAATTATGAAATTCTGTCCTAACCCCAGTCAATCTGGAGGGTAGAGAAAAACTTACCCACTGAGTCTGAAATATTTTAGAATTTAAAATCAACCAGTTCACAATACTACATGTGCTGCAAGAGCTACACAAAATGCGATTAGTTTCCAAACAGCCTCCTGAGATTCAAGTCATCTCTGCAGTCTCTCTTACGGCAGTTTGTTCTGTCTTAACCTCTGTTCCGTCAGTCTTCCACTGAGGATTTTTTCCCTAGAAGTCATGCATTGGCACCAGGTAATGGTTTGGCTGCAACACCCACCGATGATGGGTCAATTGCTGTACTAGCAATGGCACTTCTTCACTGGTCACCATTTGCGAATGGACCACGTAGAACATGCACACCTCACCTCCACCGCGCCGCACGACTCCGCACAAGCGAAACACCTATGCGGTGGGGAACACGCCAAAAATACGGTAGCAGTACAAATGACCGAAAGCAGTCGAAGTATAAACATGCACGTTCTTTATTGACATTTCCAGCCTCTTCCTTACTGACCGTTACCTTCTGCGGGAGGAAGGGGCTGTCGGGCATGTGTGCGGAGTCCCTGCTGTCAATCCTGCGAAATAGGAAACAATAACTTCCCAACTAGGAACCCTCTGCCTTGGCCTCCAGACGAGACCCATGCCGACATCTCCTCTCCAAAGGAAACCTTTCGAAACCTTTGTTTGTCATTAAACATCAATAAACACATCGCAAATAACAGTAACAGTATCTGAGGAATACCAGCGACTGGTGCTCCCTCTATCTTCCGAGAGATTAAAATTCTGCATCCAAATACAAAAGAAAACCCTTGCAAATTCAGTATTTTAATTCATTTTTGAGGTTGGGTTTTCTGGGGGGGGGCAGAAGCTGACCTGCCTTCAGAAATTAATCATGTATTTGCAGATTTTATTACAATTCCCCAATGTATTATTGGCAGCTTTTTTCCCCTTTGCGAGCAGCAGAGATAACGTGCCATCTCAATTTTATGCCCCAAGTCCTCCTCTCGCTCTCTTTGCAGAGATCTGGACACCTTTGCTTTGTTCCACCTCCTCCTCCTCCTCCTTCCCCCACCTCTCTCTCCAGCTGTCCATCTCTGCAGCCCTCGCAAATTCACTAGTTTTCCGGATCGCCCTAGAAATAAGCCTCCTTCCTCAGCTACAGGAGCAGGGACAGCATAAATGTCTAAAATTGTCTGTATAAAAGCATGCTTTTTTACCTTCTGGATAGTTTGCTGGGTGACCTCCCCTTTGCCTCTTGGGCGAGCAGAAGCAAAGGCAACCGACATGGTGGGGTTTTTTTATGTGTCTATAATATATTGGTTCCAGGCTCTAATAATATTGTTATTATCTGGCTGCTATTGCCGTGCAAAGATTCTCCGCAGCGCACGGGGAGGGGAGCCGGC